TTCCCTCTCTCCTCTAGTCTTGATTTTGTAACTGTATATCTTTATCACGGTCTGTTAGCTGACACCTCACACCACTCGATTCTGACTTCATAATATCTCACTAATTTTACTTTCTACTAACCAGGAAGAGAAAAAAGTTCATCTCTGTTCTTCTTGTGATATCGTAACTGAATAATTTTATCACTCTCTGTTATCCTATACCCAATACCCACTCAGTTCTTATGTTGTTACATCTTCGATATATTATTCAAAACTCATCATTATTATCCTCTTTTCTATTCTTGTGATGTTGTAACTGAATCTCTATCGCTTACTGCTTAAACTCTATATCTACATTTTGCCTTTATTATTTTCAACAAACCATTATCTACCCCTGGTTACTTAAAAACGGAGGACTAACCTCAACAACAAACCCTATTGCTTATATACTTATATAAGTCAACTGTGTAACTAAGGTTCCTTCCTATGCTCAGCATTAATTAATTAAACCAAAAAAGAGTGTATACATAATTGAATAGTCTGCTTAATAAATATATATCAGTGTATATTAGTTGGAATTTATAAATAATTTAAATTATTTATAAGAAAGGTTTCTTAATCGATATTAATAAATTTATAAAATATGTTCCTAGATCAGGCGATACCTACTGTAATTGTTTAAAAGTTACAAATCGTTGTGCCATTTCGTCTACTGTAGCTTTATTTGGTTTTGAATAGATAATTTTAACACCTACAAAGTCTGGATGCCTTGCTTTGAAACCTTCTACAATACGTTCCAGTTCGTTAGCTACTTCTAGTGTATTATATGTATGATTATTGTCTCCATAAAGCTGAAATTGAGAAATGTTATTAAAAATTTATCTAAATTTAATATAATAATATATTATATACTATGAAATACTAACCGGAGCCAATGAGGTTCTTATCTCAGCATATATAATGTTATCCTCGCACAATTCTTCCAATAATCGCTTGTGGTAGGCACAGTAGGTAGGCATATATTTCAAAAAATTTTCAAGTGTTACAAAGATATTGTCGAACCTTTCCCAAATCTTTTTAGTGTCACTTATCAAAGCTTTATATGTAAATTATTATGAGATAGAAAAAAATTTATATTGGATAAAAATACATATGTTCAAATAATATATATATAATACATAATTATATACATTTGCCGGCATTAGTTAAAAATAAGAAAATATTGTTATTAAAATAAATAAAAAAATATAAAACAAAATATAAAATAAAAGATATGTGTAAAAATATGAAATAAAATAAAAAACTTTTTAACAAAGATTTAAAGTATAATAATTTTTAATTATTTAAATAAAAAAAAATTAAAGATCAAGAAAGTAATAATAATGAATATACGATAAAGTAATAAAAATAAGAAGTAAAATATTAATAGATCTAAGATAAAAACTATATAATAAAATATACTTTAGTAGAATCCAGAATCCGTAAATTAAAGAATAAAATAGAAATTAACCGGGTACTGGCTCCAAACCGAGTGGAGAATTGTAATCATGGTACATATTTTGTTTTAAAAAACTGACTGTAGCTGAACACACGATACTCAGCTCTTCGAATGAAATACAAAATGTCATCTGTTAAAGATTTTCTAATATCAAATGGGAGTGGGATATATTGGTCGAGTGTTCTTCTTCTGGTTCATAATAAGGCCAAACAGTTTCAAAGGATATGAATGGGAGTGGGAGATATTGGTCGAGTGTTCTTCTTCTGGTTCATAATAAGGCCAAACAGTTCCAAAGGATATGAATAGAGCTCTTATCTTTTTCAATTCTATCTTATTGTGATGGAAGCACAGGCCATTGTGACCCGTTAGATAATACTTAAACACGCCTAGCTTTGTTTTATTTATATACCTATATCCAAAAATTACTCTTTGTATATTTCGATGTCTGGATTTTAGGGTTTCAATGATGAATTGAAAAATGAGAATTTTTAGGAGGGAAATTATTTAATTCAAAGAACATTTTAAGAAATGGGATTAAGTTAACATTAAAGACTATTTTCTGATCTCTTTGATTGTAATGTCGAATTCTATTTTGAGTTTTGGTTTTGAGATATACATATATTGCATATATATATAAAAGATATGACATTATATGTTAATTAACTCTACATAAGTAAATGTATTTTTTTTAGAGCTAAAGTACAGTTTTAGAAACTATTGGTAGAATTGGTAAATAGATTTAAAGCATGTAAGTGAATTTAATTAATAAAAAATTATATATGTGTACACACATATATAGTAAAATTCATAAATATTAGTTAAAAACACGGATATTTCAGTTTTTAACACGACTTCAAAGCTCCAATAAGAATATATTCAAGAATTTATAAAAAATAAATTTAGATATAGAAACTATTATATTATATATCGGCACTATTTTTCAATTCGGTTTTCTATTTTGCCAATAATCGCTTCTGATAATGAATACTCTTCGATGAACCGTCATACATTGTAATAAATGCATTAAGGTAGGTGAGTTAAATGAAAGGAATGTCGAATCCTTTTCAATTAGCTAAAATGGTGTTTTGATTTCATGAAAGGGTTTGACAGACCCTTTGAAATAAACGTATTTATATATATTCTAATGAAATTATTATTAAATTAACATATCTTATACTTAAATCACTTACATTCTGGATGCATGGTATACATATTAATGTGTTTTTCCAATTGTCGTTCATAAAGACGTTTATCTTCAGCGTTTACACGTTCCAGGCAAACATTTTGGGTCTCACTATGGCATTTCGATTGATCGTAAGTAAAAATCAACAATCCATTAACATTTCGACATGTATATAAATTATTCGATGTGGTTAAATTGCTAATAATCCATTTTGAACTGACCATGCCAATGTTGTGTCCATGAAGAAATGCACCTTTGGGCATTTTTTGTAGAATACGAAAAACTTCACTCTGGCGTAAATATTGCTTTCCTTGGAAAAAATGAATTGCAGGTGGATACTTTTCAGGATTTTTGGCACCATCAGATATCTATTGTGTACAAAAAAATTAATGAGTTTAAAAGTAAAAATTAAGGTTAACTATACCTCCTGTCTTTTGGCATTCATAAGTATAGAGTTGGCTTTTTCTTCGGCTGAGGTTAACCAAAGGCTGCCGCCGAGTGATGATTTTAGTTCCGTTTCTATAATTTTTTCACGCAGTGTTTCATAAGCTGTACAGTGAAAATTACAAATGTTAATGTTTGATTCGTGTGGACTGAGAACTAAAAAATTAAGTTATAAAAAATTATATGTTTGAAGAATTATGTCATATATATTGAGTTGGATTGGGCAAAAAGTATTCGGCGGTTTTTTTTTCCGCTTGATTTTGAAGTGTTATGGCTGGGAAATGATTAGTTACATTAAGTAATTGCTTTTTTTTTTGTGAAACGTTTTCTTCTTATTGGTGAACACCTTATTAAGAGTAGTGTGTTGTGTTAAAATTGATTGCAAAGTGAAGACGAGTATTTTACAAGTTTATTGCAATATGGGGAAGATTGGTATGTAAAAAGATTTCTTCAGTTTATAGAGAAAGCTTTTTATAACTTAAAAAATATTATTTATCTAATAAAAAATCTATCTAATATCTAACCATTTTAGAGACTGAAGATATCCTTCTTTCGAAAAGATAGAAATCATCATCTAAAATTGCTGATATTAGTTATCATACTTAAAAGTTTCTTTATAGTATTACAATGAGTTTACTTCTTAGGAACTAAGTAAATCAGTTTTCTATGAGACAATATCTATCCATCTATTTAACTATAAATAAATTAATACTTATAATTATAAGTACAAATTCTATAAGTATATCCAGCTGATAGTTGATGTGTGATCATTTTTTGCGACAGTGGACTCATTCACTCTCAGTGGCTAGTTCAAGACCTACATGGCCCCTATACTTCAATTGTAGAATGGTACTTGGTACATAGAAGTAAATCATAAGTATCTAGGTTAATATTTACTCTAACAGGACACTGGACTTTAAGATGACATGTAGGCAAGCTCGGCTTGCCTTGTGGTATCTCCTGTAGTACATATCTACCGTCGCTCGGATAAAACATACCAGAACACTTGTTGTGTCTATGTCCAGGCTTTTCTGGAATTACGCTTAGGCATTTAAGCAAACCATTCTTAAAGACACTCAGCGATATATCTAGCGTTAAAATTAATTTCTTAATTTTTCTTTCTTAGCTAATTTCATTGCTAGTTCTTTCTTAGCTTAATGCTTATTTCTGTAGCTTTCTTTCTTAGCTAATTGAGGAAGATCCCTTCCTTCTTCCACTTTAGCTAACCTATTCATATATATGTTCGTAAGCATGCTGTTATGATCTTAAACGATTTTAATAAAAGAGAAAGCCTAGAAGAAGCTAAGATTGAGTTAAAAAAATTAAAAAAAACTATTTAAACTAATAAATTCAATATCAACTAATAGATTTTATTAGATTCTGAGAGCAATATTATCGTATTCCAGAATAATGTATATATAGCCCAAATAAAAAAGTGAACGAGTACACTTCCATGGAGTTAAGATCCACCAAAACTATCGAGACTTTTCCAGAAAAACAAGTTGATGTCTCGTTTAGCAGAAATCACGCGTTTGAATAATATCGCATGATCCTGCTGTTAATGAAACCAAGCACAGAGGCAGGATACAAGAGGTCGCGTGTGTTAACTTATATATGATGAATACTTATCATATAAACAAAACTTTAATCTATTATTATCCAAAAATATTTAAAATTTTTTTTACACATATATCTTTAGCAAAAGACATATCTTGGCCCAACGGGCTTCGAAATAAAACTCGAAAGACTTGAAACTGTTTTCAAATTTAACTCAAGCACAAAATACCTTTTAAGGGAAGGTTTTTTTAGCTGACTTTTATAATCTTGAACACAAGTCCCTAGCATGTATAAGCCATAAAAATATTTTATTTAAATTATATTTATTTTATTTTTAATAACACAAAAATGTATGCAGAAAATAGGTGGGTAAATAAATATAACTCATAAAAATGCATTTCAATATAAATTTATTGTATAAAACTTAATAATATAAACTTTGCATTGGTGTTCTTTCATGTCCAAAACTAACATAGTTTCCCATTCTCTTCACATAGAATTTTTCAATTTCTATGTGAGTCAATGTCAAGGGCTAAACAATCATCAGATATTTCGCAGATTTTATGTGAACCATAATTTTCAGTGCTACAATATTATTTAAATTTATTTCTATAAATGTTAACAGCAGGGAACTCAGTCAGAATTTAAATTAAATGCATTTATTTGATTACATTTTGAATAATGCACTTCCATTCTAAGTTCAATGTAGGCTATCAACCATGCACTGTTATACATTAATATGAAAAAAGGATTAGTTCCCATGCAGGGTACATTTTTTGGATGTATTTTTTTACTCATATTTATTTTAATTGTAACTTAAATATAGAATTTTTTATATATCAAATATTATGTACTTTTCTTACATAATTCCATAGATTCGCTTAGGTTCATGAATAAAAATATAAACACCAAAACTCTTAACTTCTTCATTTTAGAAGCGTATAACACTTGAATAAAATTTTAATTAAAATAAATTAAAAATACATTAACTATATTAAATCAATTAAAAACACATAAATCCTTCAAGCTTATGATTTTTTTAAATAATATCACTTTTTGCACTTCTGAGTGAACAAAGACCGATATCACTCCGAACAGATTTGCGAATGCAATTTAACTGATAACAAAAATTTCGCACAGCATTATCTGAACAATAAATATCAAAATCGTACTTGTGCGATGTCATCACAAAATTTGTTGCCGAGAGTCATCACAGTTTTAGTTCATTGTCAACAAATTATGAATGACACAATGATGTTTCAGCTGCAACATCATCATCATCGTCAGCAACATTTATTCATGAGACAATAGATGTATTCATGTAGTAATAGTTCGGGGCAAGCCCCATGAGTGGGCGCGCACGTTCTTTATCAATTTCAATTGTCAAGTTCACTAGGCAATTTGTTGTGATATATTTTTATCACTCACATTATCGTTAAATATAGGCTTTTTGTTTGTAAACAAAAAGTTGACTTCTGAAGTGACGTAGTTGAATACAAATTCTGGGACTATTTGCTTGTAGTGATGTTTATAGTAACTAACATATCGATATTTAGAGCAGAAAGCGCAAATAATGATTAAATTTGTTTAAGAAAATTGTATTAAACTCTAAAAGACTTAAAAAATTGATCAACTATTCAACATATATTACTTATATTTCTATTAAAGTATGTAAAAAATACTTACTATAATCATTACTAAAAATTTGGTCAATTGTTTTAACATATAAAAGGGTTATATGGTTATATAGAACATTAACAGCACTCAGGTTCTAGTTTAATACTCGTCTCTTACAGTTCTAGATATTAGATATCACGACTGCAAATAAGAGTTATCCATTCATTTATTTCAAAATTTTAATTAGTAATTTTCTTTAATACGTATCTAGACAACTGGGTATGAGAAGACGTTCTGCACCGAACAATAAATTGGAAATAACTACGTATATAATTACAACTATGAATACTCGAGTCATAACTATCTTTAAGTTAACGGCTCTAAATACTCGTAAAACAACCAGCTTATAGTGGAAGCAAAGATAATGTAATCTCAAATATGTGGTAATGACACCAGGCAGATATTGAAAAGGTAGGGAACTATATCACCACGTGACTGCATCCTTTGAGGATTATTGTGACAACAAGCAGAGATCTATCACATACAGACTATTAAAAAAATAAAACAGATGTTGACAGAAAGAATAAAATCAAACAAATTCTCTGACTTCTAGAGAATATTAGAGAAGTTTTTAGAAATTAATGTAATGATAGAAGATAAATAAAAATAAGACTATCATAATAAGATTATTAGAATAAGACAATCACAATAAAATCATCAAAAAAAAAACTCCTGAATCAATTGATTGATTGCAAGAGATTTTGTACTGAAACTAAATGTCCGTCTATTGTGCTTTCTGTGATCTGTATTGTTTATTAGTTTATTAACAAACTGAAGTGGAACCTGGATGAATCAAGAGGGTGTTCTGAAATCCACAGTAGCGTGAGGTATCATAGATTGACATCACTAAAATCAAGTTGTAATGGAAAACAATGTTCTTGACCGGTAACAATAATTGCTGTTCAACCTTAAGTCCTCTCGAAATACTATGTCAAAAATCTATTTACTTTGAGGATTATAGATATAAAATACAGATATGACATTTTTTCGATCAAGATATTATTTGAAAATCAAGTATGAACACACCGTTATACAGTTTCATAATACCACTGATATAATTTGGTTTGACTGAGGATGATACAGTTGGTTTTGGGTTTTAATTGCTTCTCAAATTAGAATCCACTCAAAATACCCTGTTAAAACTCTATTCATTCTTTACGTGCATATACTATATATAGATTAACATCACTAAAACCGTATATAGAAGTATCTACACAAGTTTTTGAAATAAACTACGAGTTCACGATGTGAATGATATAATGCGGTTCGACAAAGGCTGGAAAAGTGATTGGTGTTCAAAATTGAATCCGCTTGAACTATCACGTTAAAACTCTAAGCACGGATATTTGAGTTGTTAGGAAGAAAAGAAAGCAAAACTCTTGGAAGAATCACTTAAATATATTCAATTAAAAAATGTGTATATTATAAAAGAATGGTTACAAGCACCTCGGGAAGGTATGCAGATCAGACGTTAATTATAGCTTAGTGTTATGAAGTGATAAACAATAATCCAGTCAAGGCGTAGAGAGGAGTTTTGAAGAAATCTCGCAGTTAATAGAGAGTAAAAGTGCTCAAGTGCACTGACTCAACTAGCTTCAACATAAATAATAAAAATAATAAATAAATAATAAAAATTATAAATAAGTAATATAAAAATTATTAAATAAATAATAATAAAGAGGTGAAGTGCAACAACAAAAATTTATTTTATATTACTTTAATTAATTAACTTTTTTCTGACCATACAGCTATTTCGAGTATTGTCAAATACTTATCATCAGTGATTTTGAAAATATTTGTTGAATTTAATAATTCGTAAATAATTTTTTGAGTCTGCAAGTACCAAGGATTGAACTCGTGCCCTGCCAAATCTGAAGATCAGAGTCATCGTTCATTAGCCAACTGACACAAAGCCGTGCTTGACTTCTATACTCGCACATTTTTCTGGAGTTTTGTTAATTTGCTATAAAAGTTTTGGTTATTTGCTATTTTTAGTAATAAAAATATATTTTTATCTAAAAAATTTGATTTTGATCTGACAGTGAACGACACTGTATTGCAGCAGTTTTTAAAACTTATGTAGTAATATTTATTACAGATAAGTTCAGATATAATTGAAAATTTATTGATAAAAACATATAGTACGTAAACTTTAAAGTTCATATATTTTTTTTTAAATACTAATGTGGCGCAACTGTATAAAATTTTATTAAATATTTTTTATAACTTGAATAAATAGAAATAAAAATTTACCGATATTTTTAGTTAAATACTGTCTTTTAAGTTGATTGTAATTTATTTATTAAATTAAATATATAAAACTATATACTGAGGACTATGGTGTAATTGTTGTAAAATATATATATTAAATTTATTTAATGTATGAAGTATACAGAAAAAGATTCTAGGAACTATGCTGTTATTGGTGTGAAAAATCTATTTAAATATTTATTAAATTTTGCATATATTATATTTACATATATACATATATTTAATTCAATTAAATATATAAAAAGAGATTCTGGGGTCTTTGCTGTTATTGGTGTAAAAAATCTGTTTAAATATATATTAAATTTATTTATTGAATTAAATATATGAAACTATGTTCTGAGAACTATATTGTAATTGTTGTAAAAAATATATATATTAAATTTATTTAATGTTTGAAGTATTTGGAAAAAGGTTCTAGGAACTATGCTGTTATTGGTGTGAAAAATCTATTTAAATATTTATTAAATTTACATATATATTAAATCAAATATATAAAAATAAATTATGGGGTCTTTGCTGTTATTGGTGTAAAAAATCTCTTTAAATATATATTAAATTTATTTATTGAATTAAATTTATGAAACTATGTTCTGAGGACTATATTGTAATTGTTGTAAAAAAATATATATTAAATTTATTTAATGTTTGAAGTATTTGGAAAAAGGTTCTAGGAACTATGCTGTTATTGGTGTGAAAAATCTCTTTAAATATATATATAATTTATTTATAGAATTAAATATATAAAATAAAGAGTTACTGCAGACTATGCTGTTAGAATATTTAGTTATAATTTGATTCTTTATTATTAGATTGTTATAGAACTTTTATTAATTTAATGAGAAATGAAGTGAATATATATTTTAAATTTTATTTTCAAGAGTTTAATGACTTTAAAAGGTATTAAAGTTCAAGTTTATAAATAAGTAACCCGTAACAAAAAAGTATAAAGTAATGGAGTTATTATAGAAGAAATATTTCTGAAATACTCGTACTTGTAAAAATTGCAACTATTTGAAGTACAAATCAATTAACAGTTTGAAATTTTTGTCACCAAAGAAAATAAATTTTGCAAATCACATATTATTAGAATTATTAAAGCAATTTAGACAAACAAATTGTTGTTCCGTAATAGCGAAGAAGTCAACAGCCCATAACAGATGACGTTTAACAGCTTAAGCCCGGGCCGTAAAAACCCCGGTTTGCGCGCGCTTCAAATCATTTTAGTATGCAAAACGTCAACTGCCAAAAAGTTTTTAAAAATTTCGTTGAAGAATTCATGGTGGAGGAGAAGGAGGAGTGTGCGAAAATTCATTAGTTCATCATTAGTTTGCTTTGCTGAAAGTTACAATTATTCTGAGCACTCAATGAACACACGAACGAACGAACGCTACCGGAGGGTCTAAAGCACCTCACTAACCACTTTAAAGACACCATTTAATCATTTTTGTCACATTTTTTTGATGTTATCTCTTCGGAATTAATATAATTTATAGCCCATATATTAAATGGTTTAATTGAGCAGTAAGCAAATTTAATATCTTAACTTAAAGCAGTTATGAGTTTCATTATTAACAGATTTGTCTATTTGTTTAAGAGTGCGACAATATCTAATTTTTCTATCTCTCACCTTTAAATTAAAATTGTCCACTTAATTATACTCAATAATTTGTTTTGACAATTGCTTCACCTCTCCGAAGTTGCCAAAAAGGCTTTCGCTTTGCTTGAAGTCAGTGTTGAAACGGACGTGGTGCGAAACATATTCTCAGTTAGAGAACCCGGTAGGAGCTTGAATTGAAATCGCAGTAAATAGAGCAAAATTATTTTTAACTTTCAATTCAGTTTGTGAAAAATTGATTTGTGTTTTTCCCACTTCTGCCGTTGCATTTATCGTTCATAAATTAACACCAATTTGGTAATATAATTTGTTTATTTATTTTTTTTTCCTCTCCTACTCTAGTTGGTTAAAATAAATATTGACTTTAGTCGCTTTTGTGAACTTTCATTGAGTCACTCACTCACTGTCCATTGTTTGGGTGGTGGATAATGCTAATCTCGAACGCCAAGTTAACAACATGTGCTATATACTATATATTGTATAGTCCCAATGGGTGTACTCTGCCAAATAAATGGAGGAAAAACCAATAATTATTATTTAAGAATTTGTACAAGTTAAGTTCTAACTTCTATTTTTTTTTGTTTTTTTTTTTGAAGAATAAAAATATTTATAAATGCATAACTAAAATCGTACTTTTTGATGTGCCTAATACTACCTGATATACTACAATATATCAAATACCATGTCAACTCCTTTCTATTAGTGCTTATAGAGTGTCGTTTGCAATATAAATTCGGCGACGGTTGTTAAAAGAAAATATTTTTTAAAATATCTTAAGTAATTATAATAAATACTATTGTAACAATAAACTGTTAGTGCAAATATAAAGTGAGAATCAATTAATAATTTATTTGAAATTAACACTTTGTTATAAAGAACATGCGTATTTGCTAAAATCGACGTCATAGGTCCATTAAAATCCATTTAAATTCAAAATGCATACTCAAATAAATTTGTTAAACAATATAATATTTAATATAAATGAAGTGTAAAATATTTAAATATATATTCTATAAGTGTAAACATTTTATAAGCTCACGTCACTACTACAAACTTTTATAAACCCACATTGGTCACTTGGATACCAAAAAAAAGTACATATTCAGTAGAAGTAGAAATACGTATATGTTACGTAGCTGTTATAGAGTGGTGTCTCTAATTTATATACGGGTGCTCTATATATTTTTTATTATTATCATTAAAAGAAGGGATAGTACACTGCGACCTAAAAGATCTATTATGTCCCTAAGTTGGATTAGAGTGCTTCTCCAAGTCCGATTTCTTTAATGAAAGACAGTATAAAGCGTATCTTTTTTAGTTTTTATGATCCATTAAATACCTTCCTAGGTGTTTCTTCCACTTGTGCATCAGTGCCGGGCATTTCCCAAGCACATGGTATGCAGTTTCTCTGCAATCTGAGTTGGATTGAATTCCTAACGTCGATAGGTGATTATTTAATCTACAGTGCCCGATCAATACATATATATAAATATATACATATACATTATATATAAATAATATGTATACTGTATTAGTTGAGTGATAATTATATATGGTCTCCAAATGCATCTGACTTCATTCACAGTTCCTTAAAAATTGAAAAAGTATAAGTACCATATTTGATTGCAGCTCCAATAATGCAATAAGTGAATTGAAATATTGCAACGGTCTTAATAGCAAGAACTTGTTTGCTAAGCGTGTTAAAGGTATTGCAAGGATATTCTATATGATTGTATTATATATATAGTTTTTATAAAGTGCTCTGAATAAAAGATCCATTGTATTTTTTTCTACAACTATCAAATAACTCCATTAAATCTTAGATTCGTTTCCCTCAAGTACGCACGAATGTCGAATTTAGCATTGATAATTCCTTGCCAGGTATTTACTGTGTTCTCAGGTATTTTT